ATTTCAGCTGACTACATCTATCTGCAGGGAAGTTAATACAAAAAAAACAGTTCTAAGAAGTTATAAGTTTCTTCTAAAGATAGTTTTTTAGTGGTAAATTCTCCTAAAGGGTGATTTTTGTTAGTCCAAAAGCAGTTGATTTCTTACTCTAAGTAAGTTTCCTCTGTTAAATTTTCATAATTAAGCAGCAATAATTTAAATAAGGAGGTTTATACAGGATAGCAGTGGATTATAACTTATTTCCATGTAATTAGTTTTCATAAGGTGTAAAAATGTAATTATGGTAAAGGTTATGTCGCATTAAGGAAGTGGGATATGGATGTTTTTCATTGTTTGGTATTTCTTGACATATCAGTTGATTTAAGATGTCGAGTTTATTCATATCCTAAAAACTCAAATAATAAATTTTCATAGATTAGATCGACGGCATTTTTTTCTTATAATGTTTAAAATTAACTGCTTATTAGGAAGAATCTTTGTTATTTTATTTTTAACCTTTATTTTTCAAAAGAAACTCGTTTGATGTTCCTCAGTCGTGCACCAGTGGAGAAGAGATGAAATTCTTTTTTCTGGGCGAATTGGTCTATTTATGCAATGCTCAAGCATGCATTCAGTGATCCGAGGAAACACAACGTTTTTAGATAACGATCCGACCTTCGGCCACATAGAAACCGTAAGTTATCGCAGCACGACAGACTATTGCAATTGCAGTCGGAAGCGTGAGCTTTAAAATTAATTCCCAGAAATTTTGCCTCTCCTTTTTGCTTATCATTAATTAAATTTTTCGCACTCGAAAGATTGGAAATGTTTCCCGGTAAAAATCCAAAAGGTAATTACCATTTTGCATAGCTATTCCTACTTATAGCATAATTTCCTGGATGAAAAATAGATAGGTAATTACTTCGCGCAAGAATGAACCATAATATATAATTGTCAAATTGACCAAGAAGATTAATTTTTCGGATGTTACTACCAAGAATGCAACCAGATTATCTTCCTTTCTTCATAGCTGGAGTTATTACAATTGTTTTTTTAATGACTTTCTTTGTTTTTTTTTGTACCTTTTATTTATTACCTTTTAATTAAAATTATTTCCGATCTTTGAGATTC